GTATCTCCATCACTAAGTGAAGTATGACTATAATGTAAAAAATTATAACTTTATAAAGTTAAGACCTATGGAGCTATGAGAGCGAAAACTGTAAATTCCATGAGGAGAGAGATTACATCTTCTTTTTGGTCATGCTATTCATATATTGCCAGAATCCAGTATAATGCCTGAGTTACATTACAGACTCCGTAATCTCTTTGGATATAAATGTGTGAAGATGGATCTCAGTTCCGTAATAGAAGAGATGAATGAAAACATAAAAGCATGTTCAGAAGGAAAAGTCCAAGGATTTGGAAAAGCAGGACTAGAAAAAGATAAAAAAGATTCACTATTATTTCAATTAGTGAAGAGAAAATTGAACATTGATCTAATTACGATTAAAGGTTAAGGACTTACATTCTCAAGGCAACAGCCATATTTGGTTTTTTGAAGGCATTTCTTATGAGAACGTTTCATGTGCAAGACAGCACACTTGCCCAGCATTTTTAGTTAAACGTGGGGAAATTTCTTACTGCCAGTAAGGGATTTGATATACATGCACATGGTGCCAAGGACATTATTTTGAACTTTTCACGTTGTTGTTTTAGCATGAACAACTCTGGCAGCACCACCTTCTATCTCTGCAACTTTAAGCGTATGCTCCACTATTCAGTAGCTGCACATTGTGCACAATTCCAAGGCAAACACAGCATGACATCGGGATAATTTAATTTATTTTTAAACACATGTTATTTTGGAAAGCACACTAAACTCTAATGAGGGATTAGAGCAACCTTGGGATTTTTATCTTCTTTTTATTGCATGTTTTTGTGTGCATGTGTGTGGTTGTTTTATTTCCAGCATTATTATTATCTACGAGTTTCTAGTATTTTTCATTTCTTTAGTGGTGATAGGTACCCACTGTACTACGATTCAAGGTCAAATTGAAAATTCTTCTGTTTCTGAAGATTTCCAGGTCAGCAAAAGCAATCAAGGTAAATTCTCTCTCCTTGTCCTTAAGTTTGGCCCTGCTCTCAGTGACTGCAGACTCCGAATCTTAGCTGGCTGCCTTTCTCTTCTCACTCCAAATGTTGGCTCCTTACACCTGGAATGTGTCTTCATACAGATGATACCTTTTTATCATTTATGGGTTTTTTGTTTGTTTGTTTTATACAAAACTTTCTGACATTTAGCAGAGATGAGTTCTCACTCTCCTTTACAAGTGTGAGCATGGAAATTCCCTGAGAAATATTTTTTCTGATTACTTTCCAATTCTATACCTGCTCCTACTCAGAGGTCACAAAATCACATTCAGAAATGTGACCATCAGCAGTGTTTTTATCCTATGTGCACAGTCCTTTAATTTTTATTCAGAGGTCCGAAGAGTTAATCCTAAATGGGGTGCTGCAAAGTCCTATAAATACAGTAGTCTACTGACAGACTGGTCAACCCAAAGATTTCTGAGAAAATATCTGGGAGGTTTTTCACGACTAATTCATGGAGTACAGTAGCTAACTAAGGAAGCTTTTTGACACCCAAATGCATGAAGGATTATTGGTATTTGCCCATAAATAGCCGAGGAGCACAAGAACTGGTAATCACCCTCCTAACTGTTTTAATAGAGAACTACTTTATACAGAGGTATATATTTACATAGTATCTAGGTAGCTATTTCAAATCCATGCTTTATTTCAATAATTGAAAGGCTATTGTTAAAGACTACATGTTTGTGTCCCTCTAAATTCATATATTAAAACTCTAACCACAAATGGGATGGTGTTAGGAGGTGAGGTCTTTGGGAGATAATTAGGCCATGAGGGTAGAGCTCTCATGATGGAGTTAGTAGGCTCATAAGAAGAGACATGAGAGTGTTCCCTCCCACCCTCCCTTCCTCTCTCTCTCCCCCTCCCCTTTTCCTACTCCCTCCCCAACAGTAAAGAGATATAATGAGAAAATGGCCATCCACAAACCAGGATGGCAGCCCTCACCAGACACTGAATCTGCCAAGCACCTTGCTTTAGGAGTTTACAGCCTCCAAAACTGTGAGAAATACATTTCTGTTGTTTAAGCCACCCAGTCTATGATATTCTGCTATAGCATCCCAAACTGACCAAGACCACCATGTACTGGTGTGCTGGAAAGGGGTGCGCCCTTCTATTAAGCTTTATTAATGCCAATCCTGTCATACTCAGGCCAGTCCCAACGTCCTGCTTCTCTCCTGCCTCCTCCACTTGCTTTGGGACCCTCCTGAGAGCTGCCTCCTACCCCAACTGTGTTCCTTGGAGCTCCCCTTCCTGTAAAACTGCTCTAGAACTTTCTTATCTCTCCTCTTTATCCCTCAGCTCTTTTTTCCTTTAAATGAAAACAAAAGGGATACTAAAAATACCAAAACTAAGAAAATTTATAAATTTTAAAATCTTTGTACTCTTTTATAACCATGGGCCCAGTTTCCAAAAGCCTGTTACCAAGTAAGCAGTCATTAAATAAATTTAATTTTTGTGCTTATTATTCTTTTGATTGTTAAAATTAATGGCATGTTATCTAAAAGAATTCTAGTTTGGAGGAAGAGAAAACAAATTAAAGCAGCTAAAACATCTCTGGCTGAAGAAACATCCCAAATGACTAATTGCTCTTTTTATTCTGCTTATTCCCAAGAAAGAACAAGGCAAAAGCATTCTTGCTGCTTAAACTTCTGATCACGGGTGTTACAAAGAAGAACTAAGACCTTTCCTGGGATTAGCAGGGAACAAGCACAGAGAGATAAAATTGCACACTGGCGTGAAACAGCCTAGCCTCAGCCGCAAAGGAAGCTACACAGCCGGGACTTAACTTCAAAAGAAATGAAGTGTGGACATGTTTCAGGGTTTGGAAACAAAACTGAGGAAAGGAGGGAAGGGAAGCCTTTACCTCAGGCTTTCAGGTATCGGGAAAAACATGTTTTTTTTAATGACTGGTGGAAGAAATACTTTGAGTAGTGCAGAAGCTGATGGTTAATGAGAGGTCTTTAGATGAGCAATGGTCTGAAGTGTCAGATCTTCCTTAGAAGGCGCTTTCTCTAAGTTAAAAAAAAAAAAAAAAAGATTCAAGATGAATTGGAAGGACAGTCAGCATTTAGCATCCTCTAGAGTCAGACTCCGGGTTTCACAAGTTATGCGGTGCAGTGTTCACCAAGCAGATGATATTGCCATATTAAGAAAATAATATAAATTATGAAAGGATCCATTAACTAAGTGGGAAAGCCATGATCCAAAATAAGGTGAACGTGATTCCAAAGCTTGTGTTTTAGAACAAAGTCATCCTTCTTCCCTCTAGACTAGTGTTTCTTAAGATGTGTTTATTATGACATCTGAAACTACCTTAAAACTTTCAGCACAGATAGTACAAAGTTGTGTGCGTGGGCACGTATGTGTGCATGTGCGTCTGTGTGCACGTGCGCATGTGTTTTAGTAGGAGGTACAACCCAGGGGTAGCTCACATTCTCCCTGGGAAGCTGCAAGCCAGAGGTGGTGATGGGCATTAGATCAGAAACCTTGCAGCCACTTCATGGGTGGGAACTCTGAAATTTTTGCTGTCTATTCATCTAATTGACTTAATTAATTGAATTAACAGATGTTCTACTCAACTGAATGCCAAATTGAGTTTTCTTTGGTGAAATCAGTGTTAATTTGCATAAATGTTAGATAAATGTTAGAAAAGAGACCTCAATGGTGAACTTAAAGGTATGAAGGATATATAGTTTGGCAAAATATCTTTTAGAGACACCCCCAGCCTGTGTGAGGATTGGTATACGACTCGTAGGAGGCCTGTGACCTGAGCCCTTAGAAATGGTTCTGGAGTTGGGGTCAGTTAATGCCTCCGTGTCAGCCATTTGATTAGGAGGCTTTCTGTTGCCTGGCACTGGCTCTGAGTGTAGCTGAATCCCCCCACTTAGTGTTGCTGCTTCAAGAGAGCATTTTATTCAATGTATAGCAAGTCAGAGAGCTGGATTCCACTGAGCTTTCAGAAGCGTTTTTATCAACAGTGTTGTGCTTGCTTGCTAATAAAGGTTTACTTAATAAATGTCTGTATGTGTACCAGAATTTGGGCTATGGATTCCTTTTCTGGTTCCCTGGGGACAAAGCTGTAGGAGAGTAGCTAATTCTCACACATCCCAAACTTTGCAGGGACTGATGTTGTCTTTCAAAAATAATCTAAAAGATGTACATGCAAATTTTCTATGGTCTCTATAATTCTGTTCCTCAGATCATGTGTATCAGAATCACATGAAGTTTAGAATTGTCCAATTTCTCAGCATCCTGAATTTTAAAGTTACAAGGATGGGGTCTGAGAATCTGAATTGGAATCAGTTCTGGTGATTCTTATATACTCTGAGGATTCAGCCAATGAGGATATAACCAAACAAGCATCACCATGGTCATTTGCTGACAGCATATCCTAAAGGCAGACCAAAGACCCAAGAGGAAATCAACATTCTCCTGACTGCTGGGTTTGAAAACTAAGATCTGTAAAGCAATAGTAAATAGCACACCATATAGCCCTCATGTCCTATAAACTCTATACCACGAATGTGTGGTTATAGCTATTTGATTACCCATCTAAATCAAAATAGATGAAAACTGGCCTTAGGCATTCAATATAAGCTTATCCATGGTCAAAAATATTCCAGTCAAGGGATAAATAGAGATTATCAATGGCTTTCTAAGTGACAATTGCGATTCATTTACCATGACAGCAATGAAAGCTGTTGGCCAAAAGCCCATCATATTGAATACGTTTCTAGAGGGAAACGGTTTGGCTATTGGGTCATTTTTTTTCTCACATCAACAAGTCCAGTTCGCTCACTCATAAGACATCTCATCTAACATTCATCTATTCATGAAATGTT